AAAAAAAAAGAGTCTTCTTACAGTTTTATTTAATAGTTATGGACTTGAGACAACAGTGTCAGTAAAAAGTATGCTTGAGATTCTGAGACTCATGATAAGTGAAAAACACAAAGATAATTTTGGTTAATTTTTTGCAAAATTCTGTAAAAAGTATGAAAATCTAGGATACATAAATAGTCTTAGCAATTATTTAGTGTTTTGTTGCTGATCATATATTTGGCCTTCGCCTTTGATCAGAAGAAAAATTATTTTGTCTCACCCTGTACAATATATGAGATATAATACAATACAAATCATGCAAATAATGAAAAATCTCTTACACTACTCCACTGAATGCCAGTGCCCTAAACTTGAGCATATTTAGCTGATTATGGTGTTTGACCCCTAAATGTGATACTCAGAGTAAAAATACAAAGTTTAAAGCCTGCCATTAAATGACACTGAGCCAAATATCACAATACAAACAGAAGGTGATTTTTCTTTCTGTGCACAGTCTGACTGGGGCACTACTTTAGACTGAAAGGACAGAATCAGACTCGTTAAAATATTGTTTTTCATTTCTTTAGATGCTCATCTAAGGATCTCTGAGGCTGAACTGTGGCTTAAGTCTTTCAATTTCCTCAATTGACACAGACAGAGTATGTCCTGCTGACACAGCAGCCAAAAGCCGCAGCTATAATTGTCTTTCCCTTACTCGCCAGAAACGTGGAAATCTTCTGAGTGGCCCAACATTTAATTACAGCATCTTCAGCGGAGGATCCAGAAGAGGCAGTGTCAGGGCGGGCCGGCTCGCGATCCCTGAGTGATCGCTACTGAGTTTTATTTTATTTCTTTACTTTTTATAAACTTTCAACAGGCACTTTTATTTATTTTTATTAAAAAAATATTTACACTATATAAAAAAAAAGAGTCTTCTTACAGTTTTATTTAATAGTTATGGACTTGAGACAACAGTGTCAGTAAAAAGTATGCTTGAGATTCTGAGACTCATGATAAGTGAAAAACACAAAGATAATTTTGGTTAATTTTTTGCAAAATTCTGTAAAAAGTATGAAAATCTAGGATACATAAATAGTCTTAGCAATTATTTAGTGTTTTGTTGCTGATCATATATTTGGCCTTCGCCTTTGATCAGAAGAAAAATTATTTTGTCTCACCCTGTACAATATATGAGATATAATACAATACAAATCATGCAAATAATGAAAAATCTCTTACACTACTCCACTGAATGCCAGTGCCCTAAACTTGAACATATTTAGCTGATTATGGTGTTTGACCCCTAAATGTGATACTCAACAGAGGAAAAATACAAAGTTTAAAGCCTGCCATTAAATGACACTGAGCCAAATATCACAATACAAACAGAAGGTGATTTTTCTTTCTGTGCACAGTCTGACTGGGGCACTACTTTAGACTGAAAGGACAGAATCAGACTCGTTAAAATATTGTTTTTCATTTCTTTAGATGCTCATCTAAGGATCTCTGAGGCTGAACTGTGGCTTAAGTCTTTCAATTTCCTCAATTGACACAGACAGAGTATGTCCTGCTGACACAGCAGCCAAAAGCCGCAGCTATAATTGTCTTTCCCTTACTCGCCAGAAACGTGGAAATCTTCTGAGTGGCCCAACATTTAATTACAGCATCTTCACCGGAGGATCCAGAAGAGGCAGTGTTAGGGCGGGCCGGCTCACGATTCTCTGAGACACTGAGTGGGTGCGTGAGGGATCGCTACTGCCAAGTCTGGTGCTCTGTGGAGACTTAACAAAATGCACATACGACATGGTGAGGTCAGGTGCTGGGCATGCTCACAGACGAGAAGGAGGCAAATAGAGATTCCCTAGGATGTAAGTCACGAAAGCCACAGCTAGCTCTATAACCTCTAATTTAAGTTCAAACTGCATCTCCAAGTTGCTGTTTGCGGCATGTCTTTGAGTCATGCATAAACAAAAGCTCACGTAGGTGTTCCTGTGACCTCAAGATTAGGATTCTCAAAGAAAAGGGCACTAAGCCTAAAAAAAGATAGCATTAACCTGTCAACAGTCTTATCTGCTGGGTAAGAATTTTTTTAAGAGCACAAAAAAAGTGAAAATTGCTCAAGCATATTTATCAGGACATAACATTCTGCTACAGCAGACACAGATCATTGAGGAATCATCAGCAGAAAGCATGTACAACACTTACAATGCCCCAGCACAAACCTGCGACATAATACCCATAAGACCCATAAGATTAAGGTGGTGCTTTTTATAATGAGCACATGCCAGCATGGCCAAAGCCCATTCAGACGATGGGAATGAAATAGTTGTGCTGTGAGTGTGGTTACTCAAAAAATGCCTCTGAACCACAGCGGCCTCCTATAAGAGAATTAAAAAGTGAGGCAACAATGAAAAGGAAATAACAAAAGGAAAGAGAAAAGCAGGTAGTAAGCCTATTACTACCTCAATTAGGCAACCTATTTTAAACCAAATTGTTAACTAACACAAGAGAACCTGCTCAGGGCTGGTTTCATGTTCATGAAATAAAAATGTGCTACAGACAGTCAGGTATTGTAGGTAGATAGGTAGACAGATAGACAGATCAGTAAAGTGAAAAAGTGAAAGTGACGTGGCATGTGGCCAAGTATGGTGACCCATACTTGGAATTAGTGCTCTGCATTTATCCCATCCAAAGTGCACACATACAGCAGTGAACACACACACCGTGAACACACACCCGGAGCAGTGGGCAGCCATTTATGCTGCGGCGCCCGGGGAGCAGTTGGGGGTTCGGTGCCTTGCTCAAGGGCACCTCAGTCGTGGTATTGAAGGTGGGAGAGAGTGCTGTACATTCACTCCCCCCACCTACAATCCCTGCCGGTACGAGACTCGAACCCGCAACCTTTGGGTTACGAGTCCGACTCTCTAACCATTAGGCCACGACTTCCCCAAAGTAGGTAGGTAGGTAGGTAGGTAGGTAAGTAGATAGAAATAAACAGAGGTAGGTAAGTAGGAAAATAGATATGTGATAAGATATAGATATAGATAATTAGCTTGTAGCAAGGTAGAAGGTAAAACTAGCTAGCAGGCAGACAGATGCATAAGCAAACATATGTAAGCAGGTAATAGGTAGGCAAGTAGGTAAATGAGCAGACAGATAGTTAACTAAGTAGGTGGGTAGGTAGATAAGTAGGTTTGTAAATGGTAGGTAGTATAAGAAAAAAATAAGTAAGGGTTTCTCCTAGATTCTGTAGATAGGCTGGTAAGGGAGGCAGATTATTAGATATTTAGGCAAAAAAAAAAATTTTAATAAAAGGGCAGGTTGGTAGGTAGGTAAAGGTAAAGTTAAAACGATATGCAGGTGGGTAGGTAGGTAAGTGGAAAGGTAAAAAAGCAGGTAGATAGGTAGGTAGCTAACTAAGTGGGTACATACAGTAAGCATAATGGTAAAAAGATAGGTAGCTAGGTAGAAAGAGAGGTAGATCCTGTAGTTAGATAGGTAACTAGGTAGGGCTGATTGTTAGATTAGTTAGGTAGGTAAAAAGATAGGCAGGTACAGGTGCCTTTTGTCTAAAGACAATTTTCTACCCCATTGGGGACAGATAATAAAGCTTTTGAATTGAATTGAATTCATTCATTCATTTATTCATTCATTCATTATTAAACTTGTTTTGTTCTTATAAAATTTAAGTTAGTGGTTGACCAATATGCTTCCAAGGCCGATATTTGGTCGACCATGCAATTGGCAAGTATATATATATATATATATATATATATATGGATAGGTAAGTAGGTACATGGATTGTTAGATAAGTAGTTAGGTAGGTAAAAAGATAGGTAGGTACAGGTAAGTAGAAACAAAAAGATAGGTAGGTGGATAAGTAAGTGGAAAGATAAAAAATAGACAGATAGGTAGTTAACTAAGTATGTTGGTGGGTAGATAAATAGGATGGTAAAAAGATAGGCAGATAGGTATGAGGGGAAGAAAAAAACAAGGCAGATTCTGGGTAGGTACTGTAAGTGGGCACTAGTTAGGTAGGATGGTAGGTATAGGTAGGTAAAATGAATGGTAGAAAGGTAGGACAGGGAAGAAAATAGGCAGGTAGGTAGATATTGTATATGTGTAGGTAGGTGTATAGGTGAATAAGTAGGTAGGTAAAAAGAAATGGTAGGTAGGTAGATGGGTCAATACTGTACATAGGTAGGTAAAGATGACAAACATAAGCACAAAATTGCTCTAAGAAATTAACATTCCTAAAAAAGAGCAGGACTGGACCTTGTCATCTCTGATCCTGTATTTATGCTCTAGAATAGATTTATAAATACACATATCCTGTATCCTGTCTATGCAACACGGCAAGAAGAATCTGTAGGCATCAAGCTCCAGTAGGCTTGCATTCACATCACCATAACTGTTATGCACAAACCCATTACAAAGATAGAGCTCTGAAAGCACAGAACACAATCTGAATAAATGCCTTTTTAATAACAATAGCTAAAGTCCAGAAACTCCTAACAATAAATTGCTCTTTACATAATTAAAAGAGCTGACCAAGTGTCAGTACAGGTTGGTTGGAAACACTGTTCAGGGAAACATTCTGTGAGGAGGCAGGAGAAAGTCAAGGGTGGCAAGGTCAATAAAATCCTTAAACAAACCTGAAACTCTTCTTCCAACAACAGACACTTTAAAGGCTTTAAACTGATGTCCCTTTCCAATAACAATCAGAAGGGATATTAGACTTCTCACTTAGAGTTCTGAACAGACTGTTCATTTCAGGAACACCGAGGTCCAGATAGCATCAGTAGGTTTGAAAGATCTTTTAATCATTGGTTAAGTGTTTAGGTTTGTGAAAGGTGCCTGCATGGAGATAAGGAAAACAGATGTGCTATTCCAACCAAAAGAGGTGTTGAATCTTTTACTTTCCACTATATGCAGAGACAAACATCTTCCAGTGCTTAGACATGAACTTTGTCTAGAATATCATCATCACTACACCCTGTGTGGTCCAACAAACATAGCAAATCCAAAACAGAAAGAAAAATAAAAAATATATAGACAGGATTCTGAAGGATCATGTGACACTGAAGTCTGGAGTAAATGTCTGCTGAAAATTAAACTTTGCCATCACAGGAATAAATTACATTTAAAAAAATGTTAAAATAGAAAACAGCTATTTTAAATTGCAATAATATTTCACAATATCGCTGTTTTTACTATGTTTTTTTATCAAATAAATATAGCTTTAGTAAGCATAAGAGACTTTGAGCATGTTCTTTCAAAAATATTTTAAAAAATCTTAAAAATCCAAAATTTTTTAACAGTAGCTTCATGTGACACTGAAGTCTGGAGTAAATGTCTGCTGAAAATTAAACTTTGCCATCACAGGAATAAATTACATTTAAAAAAATGTTAAAATAGAAAACAGCTATTTTAAATTGCAATAATATTTCACAATATCGCTGTTTTTACTATGTTTTTTTATCAAATAAATATAGCTTTAGTAAGCATAAGAGACTTTGAGCATGTTCTTTCAAAAATATTTTTAAAAATCTTAAAAATCCAAATTTTTTTAACAGTAGCATTTAACCCACATATACCTGTATTTAACCTTATATAAACAGCATGTAAAAATAAAACTGTAGCTGGTTGCTACTGTTCTGCTACATGCCAGCCAGACAGTCGTTTCCTGTCCAAGTGGGCAGTTTTTGGCCAGAATCAGCTGCAGTCTGGACTGGATTTTATGTTGTTAGTTAAAACTCTGGGAGGCCCTGTACTAACACAATGAAATTAAACAAAACTGACATCAGCCAATAACAGTGAATTTGTGTAAAATGTAGGTTTTAATATAATACTAATTCTCTCCAAAACCTCAGAGACTAATGCCAGTGCTCATGTTGTATTTTTCATTAGAAGCATAGGACTCACTTGTAGGTGTTCATGTTGGGCTGCTCCGCATCAGGAAAGCCAAGCATCCCACACACAACTCTGCTGCTGTTCAGACTCCAACCTTTATCACACACCTGTCTCCATCTCCCAGCATGCTTTACTTCCACCACACCCTGCGTAACAAGGGCACGCTTCTTTGTAACCATCAAGATCGGCTTGAGACGGACTTCTTCGATCCTCACCCTACTGGCAGACTAGAGGAAGGTTGAAAACATTTTCTCATGAGCATAACCTGTGGTTGGAATTGTTCACCCAAAAATGAAAAAATCTGCCATTGTTTAGTACACAGTAGAAAGACATTTTTTATGAATCTAAATTTAAAGAAAATGTAGATGAGATGTATTATGTATGTATTAAAAGAATTTCAGCTCTACTGCAATCTCTGTTTACCGGATTATGAAACTGCTGTCTGGAGAATTGATCCCATCTGGTATGATCCTGGGAATGTCCATTGCCCTGTCTGAGATGTGCAGGTGAACTGGAGTAAATGTCCTGCCAACGGTTCGAGGTGACTGAGTTTGGTCTGAGAGCGATGGTGTGCCCTCTTCTGGTGACTCCAGGATGCACTTGGTCTAGCCTTCTCTCTGGACTACAGACCACTCCGAGATCCTCAGTGTGTTTGCAGTCATGAACACCCCACCCGTTCGACTTGCAGTCTTTCAGAGTTTTCTCCGTTCCTTCACACCTCACATTATCCATCCAAATAGGGCCTGTGACGGATGTTACAGGTTACAAAAGCAGTGGAACAATAAAAACATCAGTTATGGGTCTTAAAGGGATAGTTCACCCCAAAAATGAAAATTCTGTCATCATTTACTCACTCTTGTGTCGTTCCAAATCTCAATGACTTTCAGACTGATCAGGTTCTTGAGTTGTATAAAGCAACTGTTCACCCCAAAATTCACTTTTTTCACTCTCAGGCCATGCAAGTTGTAGATGTGTCTGCTTATTTATTGGAACATATTTTAAGAAATTAAGCATTATATCACTTGCTCCCCAATGGATCCTCTGCAGTGAATGGGTGCCGTCAGAATGAGAGTCCAAACA